TCCAAATCAGAAGAATGTCAGTAGAATCTCAAGGGCATCTGACAGGTTTCACTAATAATCTCAGTTGTGACATTTTGTGTCAGAGGCAGAGAGGTTCCAGGCACTCAAGCACCACTCTATTAGTAATTCAACAAAACCCAGGAGCCAAGATTCCCTGCATTTTGAGAAAGCTACCTGTGTGAGGCAACACCTCTGAGCTAAGGGCTAGTAATGCTGAACATTTAAAATTTTTCAGTCAGTAGCCCTCTATTATTGGCTGCTGATCTCTGACAATGTATAAAGGTAGCCTAGAGTAACTTCTCTTGAAATAGGGGAACAGAACAAATTTATAGAAAAGGTGAATAATCAATTGTCCAAAAATGTTCTGTAACAGTCCTTCACTATCTCCGACCAGTTGATTTCATAAAACCAATTTAAAATAGTCATTAAAAGGGGAACTATTATAACAGGCAAACATGTTTTGACCACTACAATGATGCAAATAATCATTCAAGCAATGCTCAAATTTAATCACTGACCTTATCAATGAAACAAAACACTTTCTCAGAAACACAAAAGTTTAAGTAGCAATTGTTCCTCAGAAGTAGTGGAATATACTGAGCACACTGGGAAGGTGGTTCTGCACAATGCAGAAATGCCACAGCAGGACTTTTTGTTGATTTGGAACAGAAATTGAGGAGTCCAACTATTCTACAAAAACATTGTCTTAGCACCTTCCACCAGCAGTGACAAGCTACTCCAGTAAAACAAAATTAGTTGATCCACCACTCAGAAGGCTCTCATACAGCCAGTTCACTCAATAAAGGAGAAACCTAAAGCAAAACTAAATACCCAGAGACACGCTCTTTGTACATGTGCAAGTACACAAGCTGTTTCTAAAGATGGTCAGCAATCTCACTGACCAAACACCATTTTCTACTTGCTGTACTCCTCTACAACTCCAAACTGAGATGTATAAACCAAAATATGCTAGACTAAGATTCATCTTTTGTTACTTTCACCTTCCCACATGGGACACCAAAAGAACTTTTAGTGAATTTGAAATGCTGGGATACCTACTTTTTTGCAATATACTACGGGGCAATAATTTCTTCACCAGTGTGTGTAAGCCCATCTACTCCAAGGCTGTATTTTACCCTCAGCAGAAAAGCAGCTAAGCCTCAATTGCATACACTTATTCTAGCAATTTTCATTGTTACTTGTATTTTTTTGGTACAGGAAAGAAGTTTTAAAACTGAAATGACTTTTCTCCGTATACTTTTATACCGTACAGGTACTAAAAAGTACCTTGTTTTGTAGTTAGTTATATGGTGATACTTTAATACTCCTGATGTATGAAATTCTAATTCCCATTCTCAGTTTCATACCTTGAGAATATTCTAGCACAGCATCCATAGATTCAGAGTTCTTAAACCACAAATTCTACTCACTGACCAGTCAGGAAAACTAGTACAGTCTCCAAATGACATCAGTTCCTAAGCTAAGCAACAAAGGTTTTCCCCTGCCCCTCTCTGCCATCTACACTGGAGACTCAAAGGACACTTACTTTGAAGTCTGTTTGCTGTTCCTATTCCTAAAAATTAAGATTGGTATTAAGATGGTATAAATACACCTCTACAGAAACTTACTTGTAGAAAGGTAGATGTTGAAACACAAGGCTAAGCAAATAAGCCTTAATACTTAAAACAGGTAAATATAATATAAACCAAATAAATTTGCAATTAAGAGAAGGCTAACTCTCTTAACCAAGAGCTTAAATTAATTTCCCTATGCATATTAATGATACAGCTTTAAATTAACAATAAGTTACATATCTTTCAAAAAATCATGTAACTTAGACAAATTTTTAATATACATCTGCTTAGTTATTTCCTCACTATTTAACTTACTTCAGTTCGTTTTAATAGTGTAATACATCTTTAAAACTGATTCTGATATGTACTCCTTCTTAGAGGGTACACAAATAACTTCTGTCAAATACAACTGCTTAAGATTGATGCTACGAAATAAGTGGAAACAGAACTTGGCACCTCCTACTTCTTCCAGGCCAGCACAATATGAAGAGGGAAACGCAGAGAACTTAGAAAAAACTTTTGTAGCACATTAAACTTAAAGAAGTGACATGAATATGTGCTAATTGGACACTTAATTCTGTCCTAGGTTTCATAAAGTTGAGAAATTAAACAAGCCACAAATATTCATTTGCTTTGTTCACTAAAAATTAAAATAATACAAGCCTGTCAAGGAATTCTTACAAAAAGCTTATTTTTATTCTCCTTACTTCACTGTAAGTATCATGGGCATCTACCACATGGACATCCTGAACATCTTTAATGCATCAGTCTTATCTGTGCTACATCTACATCTAATGCATTTCTACAAGTATTACATTTCTGCACCTGTAGAAACTAAAGTCTTGAAAATGGAATTTTAAATACAGAGGAATCACAAATAAGAAAACTAAAAAAAGATTAAAAGTAACATATTTTCATTAATAATAAAAGCAATTAAACATATTTGTGCTGCATGCCTTCAAGATTTGCTCCGTTAGCAATCCTAAGACTGTTGGTTTTAGAAATAATCTCACCTGCAAAAAAACTCCCACAAGTCTAGATTTTGTATTCTCTTAATTCTTTTAATTCGGTGGCTATCCATTGTTTTTCCAAAGAGACTAGAAACTTCAGTATATTCATTTGTTTTCTTTTGCAATGGAATAAGCTGGAAAAAAAGAGGTTAGTACGATTTCAGTTCGATGCATTATTTCATTATCACATGTTTTTGACCAACTTGCATACCAACTCTTACCTGATATGGCTCCTCAGTATTTACATTCTCCCAGTGTGAAGGCATAGGGATAGCCTCATTTTCACAGATGAAACTTCAAACAAAAAAAGGTAAAAACACATCACATCAAAGACATGAGGCATTTTCTTCCCGTCAAACTCCTGCTCCAAACAATACAGTATGCCAAAAAAAACCCTTATACAGAACTACTTAGGGTTTTAATTCAAACAAAGGCTGTTGTCAGCAGGTAAGGTCAAAGGCAAGAGGTCTTACTTTGTACTCAAATTCTGGCTTAGCTTATGATAAATAAAGCACAGTAATGAACAGTTTTAATACATCACCTACCCAACAAAAGATAGGAAGATAAATCAGAAGAGATGGTCAGAAAGGTCCGCAACATCAGGAGAGCAACACTAATTTAGAAATGTGAGAGTGTACATATAGCCTGAACATTCCAAACCATCAGGAATTACAACTAGCCTAAGCCTCTGGAAACTGAGCCCTCATTTGAAGTATTTAAAAGCATTATGTTAGAAACACACACTTGAAAATTATAGTTGAATTTGTTTTTAAAAGAACAAAACCAAACCCTCAAAAAAAGAATGTTTTAAGCATATAAATCACATACATAGCAGCTTTTAAGCCTTAAAACTGTGACTAAAAGGAGCAATCTCCTGAAAGTAAAGAATGGTGTCATCACATGGAAAGAGAGTACTGAATGCAGTTATTCAAGAAACAAAAAAACAAAAGCTAATTGCCACATTATTGCACGCACTCTTCAGCAAATATCCATTGAAAAAACAGCTGACACTTCAAAAACACAGGCCTTCTTGAATGTCAGTGTAAAAAGATTGCTACTACATTTCTTATTACAAATGCCAAAATTCTTTTTGAAAGTATAACCAGACTACAGAACTAAAATTATTTCTCAGAAACTATTTGGGGAAAAACCCCCACATATTCCATACAGTCAATTTTACCTGTGGTAGTATCATTGCATAGATCAGTTTATTGTTTAGTGAGTATCAGATTTACATCAGCACAGCTTTACATCTAATGACTGATCAAATGGTAAGAAACTTACAATCTAAAGCAATTAGACTCATAAAACAATCTGGTTGTTATGATGCAATTTCTTGTAATTTCAAATCATTTTAGAGTAAATGATTAAAACATACAGGCAAGAAAATATAACTCAATCTTTTTTGCTGTTACAGAAATACTTCTAAATAATTTATGAAGGCATTATTACAATGGAACAAACTACTCCATTTTTTGCTGCTGTTTCTCCACAGCAATTCTGATTCAACAGGTATTTATAGCAAGGGACTCCAAAGGCTGAAGTCAGGCACAGCTTTAAGAACCTTGCCAAAGGGTATCAGTATTCAGTATGCCTTGCCTCTCCCACTACAAGTTCCTTACTTTCTCAGAAAAAAGATAAAAAACAAACTAAAAATTCTTTTGTTACTCTTCTCTGAAATGTCCTCCTTCTTCACTTGACTAGCTCCCCACCTTGGTTCACCTCTCAAATTGTTTGATGCAAAAAGTAGATAAATATAAACAATAAATATAAAACATAGTTTCATTTTACTTTGAAGAACCAGGACTAAAATAAAAATAAGGGATCTTCCTTTTATTTCCTTACCTGAAAGCACTGATAGAAAAGGGAGCTCGCTTTATTGGACGTTGCTTAAGGGTAGTTAGGTTGGTTTGTTTCATCACTGAGCATAAAACAAGAGTTAGGATGAAAGTTTCTGGAATTCATCTATAGCACATGAAACATTTAAGTGTAATTTCTTTAAGTAACATTACTACACCCAAAGTTGCTTGACAGGAATTCCTATTTCAACAATTAACAAATCAGCATTTTCGATAAATGTTTCTAAATACTAGCCTCAGAATCGCTGTCTTTATATGAATTGGCAAAATGAGCGAATATCAAACAAACAAAACGTTTATTGTTAAAATACCCATCTAACATTCAGCCCAACTAAATCAGTGGCAAAACTTCCACTGGCTTTAATACAACTGGTACGACAAAGCATATTACTATCCTTAATGCAAGACATCATGACCTACAAACAGTAACATAAAAATCATTCTTTAGCATTTGCATTTAGTGTTTTTATTCCAGATGCAAAACAAAGGTTTTTTTAAACAGACATTTAAACACAAGTAAACATAAAATTCCTTGTATTGTTACATACTACTTTACTCCCAGCACATCGCTGTTTTACCCAGTCCCCACTTTCTGTATGTGAAATACTATTATTTTCTTTCATTTGGAAGAGGCTTCTATTTAAGCATATAGCTGTTTCGTAATTTAATCAGAAAATAAACAATCTAGGGATGGAAAAAATAAAAAAAAAGAAGGAAGTTATTAGAACACACCTTTGAACAAAGGACAGATTAATTTATAATTAGCTACATACATTAGAACCCTGTAATATTCTGTAATTTACATGCATGGCGTAAGTGACATCTTTCCAATCTACTAGAAAATCCTTTTGCCTATCTCCTTCCTATTCTGACAACAGAATTGGCTTCAACTGCCTGCCGAATTATTAAATCACTTTGATGCCAGTATTTTGCAGAAAGCGTCCTTCATATCAATGTTTCTTATACAGACTCTGAATGGAGGAGGTTTTTCAAGCTTACAAGCAGTTTGCATGTTAAAGAAAAAAGGTTCAAACTTCCCAGTCCCATAGGTGTACGCTACATACCACCTACAGCTAAGGTAAGCGGCAGCAACATGATGGAGTGCCACTAAACAAGACATGCTACTTTATTAATAAACTACACTAGAAAATGTAAATGGGCAGCTGCTTCTAAAAACTCCTATGTACTTTCCAGTAAAGAACACATATCCAATCACAAGTTTTTGCACTAGATATGAGGACAATAATTTGCAGAATGAACAAATGAACTAGTGTATCTCCCATCTTCTATTATTTAAATTTACTCTATGAAAAGATACATACCTGAAAAGTCTAGTGTGTAGTTAAATTTTGCAGTAGTAAAAGAAACAGAACCATGTGGGTTTGTTCGGAAACTCCTTTCAATATCTTCACTGCTAACAGAGCAATGACTGTTCGAATCAGTCTTCAAAATAAATGAGAAAGCACATTTAGACAAATTCACCAATAGGTAGTTTGATGTATGGAATCTATCACAGCTAATATAACTTCATAGGTATTTACCTGAAACATATGCCATTTACCACACTCAGCCAAATAAAACCAGCCCCACTGGGTATCAGAGGTATCCATCTCTTCAACTGAACTTTCCATCTTTGGAAAAAAATCTTCTGATGTTCTTTGAAGCATTTCCTGAAACATTCACACACATACACAAAAAAAGTTTCGATACTATTTGCAAAAATGCATTATTTGAGAAATTCACAAAAAAGCAAAATAAAGTGAATTTGCAATACTGAAAAAAAAACCAAAACCACCTGGCAGGCAGAGGGCAGATTTGTTTCCTCTTTTTCAGAGAAAAATTCTCAATTTGCTACTTATCCAGTATTATCCTGTAAGTTAGTTAAACATTTTCAAAACTCTCTCAAATGTGCCAGTAAAGGCAAGAGCTATAGGTTTTATCAGATCAAAGAGAGGTGATAAATTTCATACTGATGGTTGTATGAGCAAGGCCGTTCATATATGCAACAGGCTCTGAGTTACACACCACTCAGGAATAAGGTGTTGGATAAGGTGTTGGAGTTACGTCTGATAGCTTGATGAAAACATCTACTAGGTACTTACCAACAGTGAACAAGTCAGACTGGATATCAGAAGTTGTTAGAAAAAAATTAAAAAACTAAGACAAAGAATATAATTATTTAACTGTGCAAGTCCACAGTGCATTATTCCTCAACACTGTGTGAAGGTTTGTTTCCCGCCTAATGCACCCACTTAAAAATGATACAGTAAAATTACTTGTACTTTGTACTTGTAATTACAGAGAAGGTTCACACCAAAAGCCAGAGTGACTTCCACAAAAGCAATGACTACCATAGTTGGGGTTCTGCAGGATGGAAGAAAAAGGACTGAGGAAAGGATATGGCAGAGGTCTACAAAATCATGACAAAACCGAATAGGGAATAACGAATCACATTTTCTTCCAACATAAGAAGGATACACCCATCAAAGGTTGCACATGGCAAATTCAAAACAAGTGAAAGAGAAACTTCTTCATAAAACATATGGCAATCTATGGAATTCCTTTTCATGATATGCTGCGGATGCTGCAAATTTATGGAAGTTCAAAAAGCAGGTAGACAAGTTCAAGCCTACCAAGAGCTATGTCGGAATACCTTTAGAAGAACAGTGCCTGCCAGATTTCAGCTCCTTCTTCATTCATCCATAAAATTGTGAAAACTCTGAAAGCACTTGACTCTACTTGCATATATCTCCTAACATGTCAACTTTGTCTGCCACACAAACACCCCAAGCAAAAATTCTAAGTAGGCTGGGGGGAATCTGTCAGAGAAAGAAGCTTGCCCTACTCCCGGAAAAGGTCAGCGATTCATCCACTCTAACTGCTTAACCAAGACTGGCACTCTTCCCAACAATTTCCTCAACTTAAATTTTGCTTCCAAGAAGTGAACAACACCCTCTAGCACAAGTAAGTCAAACTATGTCCAGTTAATATCCTGGATGCTTCAGTAGTTTCCTGGACACTTCAACCAGAAAAAAGTAGACACCTGAAGAAGGCAAATACTGGAGACTAGAAGTAGGCACCAGCTGGCCAGTGCTACTGGTACAGGAGTTGAAAGCAGAAGGCACTTCTGCTAGCACTACCCTTCCCCCTTATTTTTCCCAAGCTAGCCCTCTGTGTTTGTTTGAAAAACAATCCCAGAAACCTCCTTGTGGTAATAGCTAGAGACTGTATTCTAATCATCAAAAGCTCCAAAGGGCTACAAAAATCTAGATGCTTAGAAAACAGGGGAATCAGAAGTGGACCTTCACAACATCTCTAAATTGCAGAATCTGAGGGCAAACCTACTTCAGTACAAATGGAAGCGTACACAAGGCTACATACATGGATAGCTGCCTCAAGTTCAAGCAGAACTACACTAAAGGTACATAAGCTGCATGGAAAAATATTTTGAAAGAGATAAGAAAACTGTTCTTTATTTCAGAGGACATCTGCCAACATCTCACATTCCTCACAGCAATACAAAGTGACAGCCTACATGCGCTTGGTGTTAAAGCACAACTGGCCACCATCTTTTGATGATAATCTTTCACCTTCAACTCGATTCTTCCTCTCTGATGAGTATTTGGCTGTGTTCCCTCCTACAGAGAGAAGGCAGAGGTAGTCTACGTATTTTTAAAGCTAAGAGGAAAGCAATTCAGGGTTTTTTTGTAACATTTAGTTTCCTCATGTTCCCACTAAAACGGCCAGACCTCAGCTCCATCCCAACATTAGTTCAGGGCCTTCAATCTGATCAATCAAATCAGTAATGCCTTTTGAACAAGTTACAACCAGAGAAGGCATCTTCATCTGTGCCCCGTCAACATGCTTATAGCTCCTCTGGAGGCAACACAGCCTCCAGAATAAACCATTTGCTAAGGAGACAGTTATTCCCATAGCTTTCAAAAATGTTACATTCAATCCACGTGTATTACCCTAGTCACAAAGTCTAGGGTAAGCAGGTAGATTCCAGGATACTTAGAAGTATGGAAGAATGACCCAAAAGCATGAACACGTAAAGCCATAAAAACAAGAGAGCTGTTCTCAAAGATGATACAGATCCAAAATGCTTGAAGGAAATTGCTCAACTTACTGATGAATTTAAAAATCAAACCCACATCATTTATAAGGAGCAGGTAGCTTTTTGTCCAAAAACTCTGAATGCATGCACAGCGAACAGAAGAATCTTAGTGAGTTTTTCTGGATGACAGGATGTCAACTACTGAAGATGCAGCAATGAGAATTTTATTAGCGATGCTGTTGCTAACAGAAGGCCCCTCAACTCATAGAATCATCATAGAATCATAGAATCATTAAGGTTGGAAAAGACCTCTAAGATCATCGAGTCCAACCGTCAACCCAACACCACCATGACCACTAAACCATGTCCCGAAGCGCCTCATCTACACGTCTCTTAAATACCTCCAGGGGTGGTGACTCAACCACTTCCCTGGGCAGCCTGTTCCAATGTTTAACCACTCTTTCAGTAAAGAAATTTTTCCTTACATCCAATCTAAACCTCCCCTGGCGCAACTTGAGGCCATTTCCTCTCGTCCTTTCGCCAGTTACTTGGGAGAAGA